GAGCCCTGTTTCTATCGTCAATTCTTACCTTGGTTTCCGAATTTCAAAATGGTCATATCCTTATGGGAATGAGATATATGCAGCACTTATATCTAGCATATATTTGGCATACCACATTTTGGCCGAAACATATCTGAGATACATTGCAGATATAAGTTAAATATTTTACATCGAGATATATGTGCATATTTATATCTAGGATATATCTGGCAGAATATATCTGGCTCAAACCCGCGTAGTCAGGCCCTGCTCAACTGCAAATATGCCTTGCCGAGTTCCGGCATATCGTATACATCATATACTGAGCCCTGATCGATTCGGAGTACGGCAAGCTCGTCGTGCATGTATGGTGAATCTTGAGCGAAAGTGATCGCGTCTGGCCCTTATGAGTCTAATCAACCATGTAGGTCAAGACTAATAATTATAATAATTGTTGAGAAGAAAACCCGTCAAGTCGATAATTAATATTCGATAAATACATATTTAAAAACATATATTAAGAATAATATATTAGTTTCGATCCAAGTGTGTATGCGTAAAAGCGCAACTACCGGTTTCTACAGCCCATAAGAATTATCACATTCAAGAATTTCAGAGTAGCAGACCAGGATACACGGGACTCTAGCGATCATCAAAGTTAAACAGCACCAGAACCGTGAAAGCAATTTTTTTTTCTTTTTTTTCCAATTCGGGTTTCGGGAGAGAATAAATCAACTATCCAAATTGAATTTGATCGTCCTCCATCAATAATTAACCATAAAAAAAATAATTTTCTATTCGAAAAAATAACCTCATATTAACCGGATCAGGCCCTGAGGAGAGATGTACCTCAGGTGCGGAGCCAGTGAACGTGGTGGGGCCCTGTTCTGCCAATGCGTTTTATGCTTGATACGGGCCGAGCATGACGAGGCTTTGATAGCCAGATATGGCCCGGACTTCTAGGATCAGGCCACCTTATCCGGACCTGATGAGATCCGTTCACGATTTTCTATTCGGGACGGTGTCGTAATTTTTTACGAGATTCAGGTAAAAATTACGGAACGCTCAGAAAAAATTCCGTGATTTTAGGGAAAAATTACGGGACAGTTCTGTAAAATTCCCTACAATGATATTGAGCTCCGGAATTACGGAAAAGATACGTAATTTTTATTGATGATTGCTCTCCATGTGGGAGAATATAAAATTAAAAATTCCTACATGAACACAGCAAACGAGTACCATATCGGAAAACTATAAAATTTGGTTGAATTTAACCCAATGTTTGCGATGTGGAATTCATTTTTTACGACTTAACATAATAATTTTCAACTTTCAACAGAACAGTATAAAATGCACACATAAGAAAAAGTTTTAAGAATGTTGAAAAATCCGTTATTTCTTCACAAATTTTTACTATTAAACGACGTGAAATTACTCAAATTGTCTGAGTTTTTACTAGGCTGGAGTATAATTCGTTTTACGATTTAAAAGTTGGGTTCATAATCTCGCCCTTTTTTTCTTGCAGAAATCTTAGAAATTACTGAATTGACTACTAAAAACTCCAGCAAATGACGAGTGTCGATTGTTTTCCATTGTTGGAATCTCGTCCCTCCGTCGACCACACAATGACCTGGTCACCGGGTACTCAAATTCTAAAAATTTACATTTTACTTTCATATTCCCATTTTCACATCCACCGACTCAATGTTCACTGTTTTAATAGTAATTTTCATCATATTCTAATGTCTGTCGCCGTATTTTTTCACCTACCACGTCGTAGTTGTTTCGTTCTTCTTAAACTAGATTGGTCCGCGTGTTCACCGCGTATATGTCCTGTGCAATGGGGCATAATGTATGTCAATTATAGTGAAAAATCTTATATTAAATTTCCGAAGTTAATATCAAAGTTTCCGAAGGAAAAGTTCCAGGAATGTATTCTATTTTTTTTTAATATATAATACATCCCGTGTGACTTTTCTTGAAGCTAATCTATTCAGCGTATTGAGTCTGTTGTATTTGAGAATATTTAATTTAATTCTCATAAAATATTTAATTGAAAAAATTTTTTTTTTCACTTGAAAGAATATTCTGGAAAATCGAACCAACGAAATGCTTCGATTTCCCAACATCAAACACGGCCTCATCCACGGACGCGCGGACTGGCCAAAAATTTCCAAAATCATAATCAGTCTTGTCCTAGCATCGATAAAGAGCACACCAAAGGGCGAACTCCTCGCGATTGCCAGAGACCTGATTCCGGAATCATTTACTTCCTCTGCCCGGCGGTTATCGTGGTGATCCGAGTATCGGAATTATTCCGATTGTAATTGCGCTCATCTTCGTAGCGATCCATCCCGCGATTAACCCATTGCCAGGGAAGAGTTGCGAATCGTCTCGGTGTGAAGTAAGATGGGGTAGAGCGAATCAGCACGAAGCGTAGAGCGGTGTGAATGTGGCGGAAAGATGTTAGTATGTAAACGGGTCCCCCACTTTTCATCACGCCAGGGTTGAAGCTAGAGACCCTAAACGCACGACAAATTTTTTTTCTTTTTCATGTATGAGAGGATTATTTCAATTTCGATGATTGCAAGTAAGTAGTAAATTCGTATGTAACAGTTTGCAACTAAGCGATTTCCTGGAAATATTCAGTCGAGCCGGGTGAAACTCCCTACCCTTCAAACACATCCAAAAAATTCAATTTCAATTCTTATGTTCCTATTAACATTCGAGAGGCGCCGAGCATACGGCCCTGCTACCGCCATCTCCACTACCGCCATCTCACGCAGGGCATAGGAGTGGGGACGCATCGTCCGTGACAATGGGTTAACAGTGAAAATAAGAACTTTCGCGTAATCGGCTGACAGGGTGCAAAATTACCTGTTACGTTTTGTGCGTGAGTTCACGAAAAAATAGAACTGCGAGATTCAAAATTATAATTTAAAACACAATAATGCGTATAGATACTATATTTTTTTTAACAGACGTTAATTAAACAATCAACGCAAATCAGTGAGAAAGGAGTGATTCAATGGAGAAATTGAACACACAAGCAAATGTGAGTGACATTAATAGTGAGCTAATCTGGCACAGGCTCATCTCCTCTTTCTTTCAAGAATCATAAATTAACGTGAAATTTCCCACTGAGAATCAGATTTTTATGAATTAGGGAAATCTTGTAGTAGAATTCGGGTTTTCCGGGAATAAACAGACCATATTTCATATCACTTTTTCTCTTGTATCATTATTGAAAATTACCCTCAATGCTTTATGATTGGACAGATTTGTTAAACACTTCAGAGGTAAGAATCCCATCCTTAATAGAATAAAATAATCATCTCACTGCTCGGTGAGAAAATTAGTTGAATACGAATTAGAGATTCAACTAAAGTTCCATATCCATCATGTCATTAGATTTTTTATAAATGATGATAGCATACATTTAAGAGATTACGATAATACTATACTATATTATGTATGTTATGTACAATATACAATATATAATAGAGTACTATGTATAAAAATAAAATGTGCATAACATGGATAGGAAAATCGATATTGATTGTTCTCATTATTGATCTTTTTCCAGTCATTCACAGATCTGATATAATTTTTCTCTTCATCTATTTTTCCCATAGCTGGCTGATGCTAACTATGGAACTAACTATGGATAGAATAGATGTGCAAAAAAATAACGTCATTACTATTCAAAATTGGGAAATACTTTGTTACGTCCAAACACATTACTTACTGATGATGTCTATTTCGGGTCAAAGCAAAAAATATGCTTTTTACTCCAGGGACTGAGACCAAAGTCAAATGTCCTTAAGGTATGCTGATGCCCTCTGCTGATTGAATTTGTTGAGAATAGAACTAGATGGATACTAGGCAGATTCCAGTAAGTTCCAGGAAAGAAAGTTATTTGCAAATTTATTAATCCAATGTAATTTAAAGAGTCATTTGACCTTATCAATACATCTTCTTTATTCGATGAGTATGTCGTCTGGCTGTAGGTTAGTTATGGCAACAACACGTTCTCGAGTTACAATGGATACGATGTACTGTTATTTCCTTCTATTTTCTTCTTTTATTCAATTTTGATTTAATTTGAGAGTTTTGTAATTTTTAATTGATTTTAATAGAATTTTTGATAATGAGGCTTCTATGACCATACAAGCAGTTTTTAAAAGGTTTTTGAATTTTATTTTAATATATTAAATATTTGACTTACATTTTTGAAATAAAAAGTTGGTTCAGAAAACTGAGATAACGAGAATCAGTAATTGCTGCTTAAAAAGTACAATTGGAAGTGCTGCCGCTGCTGGGCTTGTGCACTACCTTTTATAGGCTAGAGACATAGAGCTGTTGCTAGGTGTTCAGATGAGATATAGTCATACCGAGACTAGATTTTTCCACGAGTATTAGCATTGTTCTCTAATTTTATCCGATGATCAGTGTATGTCGCGATCGGAAGACGATTACGTGAAACGATCATGAGAGAAAAGAGGAAGAAAAATGTACCATCTCTAGGCGTAGTTTTATAAGATCTACATTGCGCTTGACAACAAGGTGCTTAGATTCTTACCTAGAAATAGACTCGTGCGTGCCTGGAAAACTCGAGAAATATGAATCTGAAGAGGACAATTTTTTTTAATGCGATTTATCCAATCTAGACATTACAACTTCTCACGTATCGACAATAGTAATGCCCTTGAATAACCTCACATTGTCATGATGGGAAAAACGTCATGGTTGAACATTTGTTTTCTTCATGCGATCCTTTATTCTGCATATAACATTCCTTTCTGATTTATTAATCCCGCAATTTCTAACCAAAATTATTTTCTCAATTATTCACATGAAAATTGTGTATATTAGGAACAAGTCAAATTAATTTTGTAAATTTTAAGTGGCAAAGGAGTTGGAAATGTCAAAATAGGACGCAGAAAGTCTAACATATTCGAAGTGCCAATTTTTCCTTTAATTGTACTCATTACACTATGTAATATGTATAGAGGAGAATTTGATAAGGAAATTGAGATATCATATACCTGAGAAATCGAGTAAGCGTTTCTTGAATGGTGCAAACATATCGGATGTGAGATTTTTGTTCTTTGCATATTCCGCGAGTATTTTCTCATAATATTCTTTGCCTTCTTTCGAGATCTGGTGATTTGATATATGCATGATACTCCACATCTTTTCGTCCTCGGTATGATTCATATCACTCTCATCATATTCTTGTCGCTTCGTCCTGTCCCATGATGAGAACTTCACTCTACCATACACTGATGGTTCCGTTGTCAACTCCAGGCTTAATGTGACTGAAGGTTGGGTAGTGTTTGGTACTATTCCATGAGCACTCCAGTAAGATTTACACTGGTTAAGCACCTTGAATTATTGACAGTGAATGTAACTGTCCCCTGAACGATAACCAAAAGGCGAAGAGGTACAGTCGACCACTAAAGTTCGTAAACAGAATACATGGAATGCAAGTTCAGGCTGTTCGCGAATTTTAGTGCTCGACTGTATATGCTTTTGGTAAGAACAAGTCAAATTTCCAATTGGTCTTTCACGACTATAACTCTATGGGAAATGGTAGTAGTATGCATAGGCCCCGTTGAAATCAAATGTGGGCGAGGGGTGTGCGGGGCAGGGGGGGGATGTTCTTGCCGAGTGCTGGCCAGGCAATGAGAGTGGGAGAAGGAAAGTCATGCGTTGTCGCGGCAGTGGCACAATGCAAGAGTTTTTTTTCTTATTATTATAATTTATTCAAACCCCATGGGGTGTTTTTTTTCTTATTGCGAGTGCTGCGTATACGGCACGGCAATGAGAGTGGGGGAAGGAAAAAACTCATGCATTGTCACGGCAGCGGCAATGCATCAGTTTTTTTCTTATCATTATAATTGATTTAAACACGATTTGGTGTTTTTTCCTTATGATGCGTAGGGGGGTGATCTACACTTTTTTAATTTCTCTCAACTTCTCCATCTAAAGGGAGAAATTATCTTGAATTTTTGCATTTTTATTTCTCAAATTTCAGAATTTTTGAGATTTATGCATGGGGATGCTTTTTTCATCTCTTTTATAAAATTAAGAAATGAAACTTTTTTCGCTTCTTGACTTCCAGAATTATGAAAATAATTCATGAAGAATTTCATTGAGTGGGGTTTGAGACGTTGTGCCGAGCAGACGTGTTTTCGTTGTGCTCCGCCGGATTAACGTGGTTCTACACAGCGGGCCTTAGCTATATGGCTAAGGCCGCCCAACTTAAAATCGCTTACTATAAATTTAAAAAAAGTGCAGTGCAGTGAGAGTCCACCGAGTACAGGTGGAGTGAGGGGAAGGAAAACCCCGGTTGCTGCCTTCCTTGACTAAGGAAGTTGTCGCAANAGCGGATGATGCGATAACGCGTCCGCTGAAGTATTTTCAAAACGTCATATTCATTAGAAATGAATTAAAATAAAAGAAAAAATGCAATCGCCATATTTGTTTTGCACGTCTCAATGGTCAGTGTGACAAGTACTTCCGCAGAGTGCAGTGCATTTTTTAACTGGATTATTTGGCAAAAACAAAGAGTAAGTATATTGTCAGTTTCCATTTTTTGAGTGTTTTCTAATGTGTTTAGTGTTTAAGTGCCCGGGAGTGTTAAAAAAAGTGGATTGTTCTAAAAATTATTGATGTTCAAAAGTCTGAAATTTCCGGAACTTAGAATGGAGGAATTTTTGAATTTTTAAATTTGTGAATCTTTCGAATTTTTGTTAGAATGATTAATTTTTTGAATTCGTGAAATTGTGAATTTTTAAATTTGTGAATTTTGTGAATTTTCAAATTTTCTGAAATTTTCAATTTTTGAATTTTTGTGAATTTGTGGATTTTTCAATTACTGAATTTTTTATTTTTAGATTTTTGAATTTGTTAATTTTTGAATTTCTACATTCTGGAGATTGTGAATTTTAGAAGTTTTAGAAATTTCCATATTTTCAATTTTCCAACAATTTCCAAAATTTCCAAAAATTGCCAAAATTTCCAAAAATTTCCAAAATTTCCAAAATTTCTAAAATTTCCAAAAATTTCCAAAAATTTCAAAAATTTCCAAACATTTTTTTACTTTTTTTAAAGAAAATAGTTGTCATAGAGTTTATCCATTGTTTATTTTTTCCTCAATGCATGTGAATCGGGGATGAAAACATTATAATTATACAATATCCACGATTCAATGATTTATTTATAAAATTTTATGCCATATACATGATTAATGATTGATTAATTCTAACATAAGATTGATTTCATGGTCATGGATTGCTCTTTTTTAGTCAATAATGAATTAGTTTTCAGTGTTTCACATTTACTTTTTTTGATCCTTCTCAATAGTGAAAAATTCACAGGGGTTGTACTGACCAGGCAGGAAACGAATGCGTAGAATCCCCTGTTCTGCATCCTTTTTCAGAGTTTCCAGCTCTTCTGGGGTCTCAGTTAGCAGGTCGGAGAGTCTTTTCGGCAGCCAGATGAAAAATTCATCATCCAGGAAAGCCAGTACTTTTGGCCCCCATGTAGTAGGTTCAGTTCGGAGTTCTCCTATTTTGTACGCCTTATCGACTTCCAAGTCCTTGATTTTTGTTGTTGCAAAATCAGACTCCAATCGCGCAATTTTGTTAATTCTGGTGTAAGATGACATTTTTC